TTCCTGTCACAGTGTATCTGCTTTCTTGTACGAGGTTCAAGCACACAGATACACTGACAGGTTTGCAGGAGTCCTGCTTTGCACCAGCAATCTGCTGATCGCTGGTGCAATAATTTACAGGCTCAAAAAAAAAATTGTAAATGCACATTTATTTACCTGCTAAAAATGGGCATTTATTTATTTATGTCACCTTATCCTTTAAAGTGTTATTAAACCCAGGACCCTGCATTCATTATATCTGGTCTCCCACAATACACAGAACATGGAAATGCAATTATTTTAGTAAATACAAACTGCTAAATACCTTTTCTCATCAGCAGTTAGAGCACTCTTGTGACTTCTATCAGTGTCCAACTGAGCACTGGTTAAAGCTTGTAGGAGGAATTTTCATTTTGCTCTAGGAGGATGCAGAAGCCCTGACCTCTGTCTGGACAGTGCTGATTGGCCCTGTGCTGATCACATGCACTCTCACAAGAAAGAAAACCTCTCTAGCAATACACACCAAACTGAGCATGTGCAGAGTGACTCTACACTATGTCTTATCAGAAGATAGGAGGACACTGGAAGAAGGGGAGGATCAGAGAAGTCAGGATCAAACAGTGCTTTTGCATGATGCAGAGGATGAACCCCTATGGTTCCACAGTGAGTATAACAAGCGTGCTTTACTGCTTATGCAGACTGATTTTACTGTTGTGGGTTTAGAAACACTTTAAGGTAATACTATAGGTTCAGCTTTTCTTTTCTTTTTTTATAACAAACATGTCATACTCTACTGCTCTGCTCTATATAATGGATCTGCACAGAGCAGCCCTGATAAGGTCCCCCGCCAGCACTTCTGTCTCCTCTCCCCTGCTGAGTGCCCCTAGAGCAAACTGCTTTCTCTGGGGGCCCCTGTGCATGCTCACTTCCAAGCCAGCTCTGTGTGTCCATAAGACACACAGAGCATGGCTCGGCTTCACTCCCTCCTCATTGGCTGTGATTGACAAAAGCGGGAGCCAGTGGCCGACGGAGAGACTCAGGAGAGTTGTTGATCTCATGCACATCACTGGATCAAGATTGGGCTCAGGTACGTTTTAGGGGGGCTGCAGGGGGAGCTGCACACTGAAGGTTTTTACCTTCATGCATAGAATACATAGAGTACAATTTAAGTACCTTATTTCTGAAAATCTTCCGGCTGGGCTGGTGATGTCTTGCAATAGGGCTACATCCACACTACAAGGGTTAACAGCTCAATTAGATCAGGGGGACAGAGAAAAGATGATCAAAGGTGCATTCCCAACTGAGAATAAATGCGAGAACCTCAAAAGGGGTTCCTGCAATTAGCTGTGAGTATGTGGCACCATTGAAAGCAATGAAAAGCTGCCGGCTCCTGAAGCTAGTCGTGTACACTCGCATGTACTCTCCTAGGGTACATTCACACGTGCGAATGCACCATGCCAGTGAGTAGTTGAGAGAACCCCAGTGGGAGTTCCTGCAATCAGCAATTATCTGCTAAAGGCAGCCCCATTGAAAGCAATGGGAGGCTGTTGGCTCCTGCAGCTAATCACAGCCTCTCAAATGTAAACGCTCATGCGACAATCTCAGGCAAGTGTTCAGCCCTGATGCAGGCAATCAGCCATTGCTGACCTCCTTCTGAAATGTTAGTTGCAAGGCTGATATACTAACTTGCTGTCTCAGTTCATCAAACAGCACTTAGGTACATTAAAGTATGATGTAAATCTGTCGTTAATCATGTTTTCCATTTATGTAGATTCATAACAATCATGATAAATAACACCCACGGAACCACCAAAAAAAAAACACACCAATGCGTCTGCTTCTGATGCATGCTAGTTGCGAATGACAGGTTCCAGCAACCTTCCTCAAATGTAAACAAAGAGGCAGGGTAACCCTGGGAATGTCATTGACCTAGCATGCTAACATGGGTATAACTTATAGAGGAACTATGTAATGGAACCGTCCCAGCCTTTGCTGAGTACTTCTGTTATAATACCGATTCCCCATCCGAACACTGACAACAGACACCACAGCAGAGCTGACCATATAAGATTAGACGACACCAGTCTTGAAGTAAACCAGGAAGTAGACTACTTTATTTCAAAACAGATACAAGATATATACACTCAAGGGGACAATACCGCATCCCTGCATAATGACACAGGGCGGGGCAATCTACATTTAGTAACAAGAGACACACCAACAGACAGTCCCATCAGGAGGGAGGGCTGCTGGAGACACCCCCCACTAAACTAATACACATAAACACATACATCCCATAATAGTTTGCTCCCAAGCAAGACACACAATAGAACATTGGGATGCAACCACATAACACCAAACAATTCACAACCCCCACCCCACCTATAGCCTAGACATATACACAATATTAGGACAGATCACCCTGTACCCCTAACAGGCACAGAGTGACTTATACATAAGAGGGATATGGGGAGCTGAGACAGTGAGCTGGGTTCCATGGGCCCCCACCCAAAGTGACTCCCATCAAAAACTTCACTTAAAAAAAGACATTCCCCCTTTCCTCGTCCTCCCCCTACTATTGCATCTTTTTTTGGAGTGGGCACCTTCTTCGGAAAGGTATCTGCTCCCATCACCACTGGGTTTTTATTTTTATTATATAAGGGAAAAAAGACAAAAATTTGCAAAAAAAAATCTTTTACTTTCTGCTATAAAACATATCTTATAGTTTTATTTTGGTGGTATTTGATCACCACTGCGTTTTTATATTATATAAACAAAAAAAAAACAAACATTTTGAAAAAAAAACATATTTTTTACTTTCTGCTATAAAACATATCAAATAGAAAAATTAAAAAAAAAATAATTTCTTCATAAATTTAGGCAAAAATGGCCAAAAAAAGGCCAAAACTATGGTATACTGGAATTTTTATACTTTTTTTTATACTAGTAATAGCGGTGATCAGCGACTTATAGTAGGACTGTGATAGTGCTGAGGGCAATCTGACACTGACACTGGGTGGGAACTGACTAACTGGCACTGACATCACCAGTAACACTTCTAACACCCTCCTAGATTAGGTGCTAGAAGTAAGGCAACTTAATTTTTTTGGCTCTGCTGTTAGAAGTAGAGGCATAATTGTGTTTTGCCTACTCTTCTGCAGCTGCAGGTTTACCTGTCTCCCCTGACTTTCCAGAATCTTCTGGAACCATAGTGAGGGAGAGGATAGAATCTGAGCTGGCTCTGTATACACACTCAGCCAATCGCTGGTCCAGACAAGTGACCACTAGAGTGCTGAGAGTGGTATATAAGGGTGAGAGCAGAGAGTAGCAGGGTCTGTCGCAGGTAATTGACCCAGTCTGGAAATGCTGTCAAACATTCCTAGGCTTAGGAGAGACCTAAAGAAACCCCAGATGTCTCTAGCTCACCAAAGAGCAGAAGAGTCATCCTTTTGAAGTCGCAAGAAAGTCCGGAGTGGATCTTTTTTGGATATCTTGTGACACAGATCAAAGAATCCTGAGAGAGAGACAGTTGCTTGTGCACCCCTTCTGGATAGAGGGATCGTTCCAGACCTAGCTGCCAGGGCTGCACCATAGAGGAAGCTCCTCTGTGCTGAAAGCTGTTGCTACCCTATCGTGGAGGAAAACTCTGTTCTTTTACATATATATATGTAAAGTGCTGCATAAAATTGACGGTGCAATATAAGTAACTGAAATTGAAATAAATAATAAAAATAAATAAATTTCAAAGTAGTGTCCTCAGCAAGTTCCTTACCCACATGGAAGAAAAATATATTTGAAATATGTTTTAAAAATATTCTTCCCAAATATATTGACATATATTTGAAATGCTACAATTTTGGCCATATTCAATATATTTCAAAATAGATTTAAATAAATATATACCGTATTTTCCGGCGTATAAGACGACTTTTCAACCCTGAAAATCTTCTGAAAAGTCGGGGGGTCGTCTTATACGCCGGTGCGAGCCGGTGTCAGGGCGGCACTTTTTTCGAGGGTGGCGCGGCGCCGCCCCCCATCCTCCTCCGACGGACACTAAGTACAGGGTGGGCAGAGGGGCTGCTGTACCTTACTGGCTCCGGTCCCACGACGATCCGGTCCAGGAAGCGCGGCTGCTCCTTCTGTCAGTTCGGCCGCTCGATGGTCACGTGGCCCGCTCGGCTCCGCCTCCCCTCACCAGCACTGGAAAGGCACACAGGTGCGACCAATCACGGCGAGGAGGCGGAGCCGAGAGCGGGCCCCGCGAAAATCGAGCGGCCGAACTGGAAGAAGGAGCAGCCGCTCCTCTCCCCCACTGACACTAACGATGGGGCACTATTGCTCCTCCACACTGACACCAACGATGAGGCACTGTTCCTCCCCCACTGACACCAACGATGAGGCACTGTTCCTCACCCACTGACACCAACGATGAGGCACTGTTCCTCCCCCACTGACACCAACGATGAGGCACTGTTCCTCCCCCACTGACACCAACGATGAGGCACTATTCCTCCTCCCCACTGACTCCAACGATGAGGCACTATTCCTCCTCCCCACTGACTCCAACGATGACGCACTATTCCTCCTCCCCACTGACTCCAACGATGGGGCACTATTCTCCCCACTGACACCAATGATGGGGCACTATTCTCCCCACTGACACAACGATGGGGCACTATTCCTCCTCCCCACTGACTCCAATGATGGGGCACTATTCTCCCCACTGACACCAATGATGGGGCACTATTTCCCCACTGATACCAATGATGGGGCGCAATTCCTCCCACTGACACCAATGATGGGGCCCAATTCCTCCCACTGACACCAATGATGGGGCGCAATTCCTGCCACTGACACCAATGATGGGGCGCTATTCCTCCCACTGACACCAATGATGGGGCGCAATTTCCTGCCACTGATACCAATGATGGGGCGCTATTCCTCCCACTGACACCAATGATGGGGCGCTATTCCTCCCACTGACACCAATGATGGGGTGCTATTCCTCCCACTGATACCAATGATGGGCCGATATTCCTCCACACTGACACCAATGATGGAGCACTATTCCTCCCACTGACACCAATGATGGGACACTATTCCTCCCACTGACACTAATGATGGGACACTATTCCTCCCACTGACACCAATGATGGGGCACGATTCTTCCCCACTGACACCAATGATGGGGCACTATTCCTCCCACTGACTAATGATGGGGCACTATTCCTCACCCACTGACACCAACGATGAGGCACTGTTCCTCCCCCACTGACACCAACGATGAGGCACTGTTCCTCCCCACTGACACCAACGATGAGGCACTATTCCTCCTCCCCACTGACTCCAACGATGAGGCACTATTCCTCCTCCCCACTGACTCCAACGATGGGGCACTATTCTCCCCACTGACACCAATGATGGGGCACTATTCTCCCCACTGACACCAACGATGGGGCACTATTCCTCCTCCCCACTGACTCCAATGATGGGGCACTATTCTCCCCACTGACACCAATGATGGGGCACTATTCTCCCCACTGATACCAATGATGGGGCGCAATTCCTCCTCCCACTGACACCAATGATGGGGCCCAATTCCTCCCACTGACACCAATGATGGGGCGCAATTCCTGCCACTGACACCAATGATGGGGCACTATTCCTCCCACTGACACCAATGATGGGGCGCAATTTCCTGCCACTGATACCAATGATGGGGCGCTATTCCTCCCACTGACACCAATGATGGGGCGCTATTCCTCCCAATGACACCAATGATGGGGTGCTATTCCTCCCACTGATACCAATGATGGGCCGATATTCCTCCCACTGACACCAATGATGGAGCACTATTCCTCCCACTGACACCAATGATGGGACACTATTCCTCCCACTGACACTAATGATGGGACACTATTCCTCCCACTGACACCAATGATGGGGCACGATTCTTCCCACTGACACCAATGATGGGGCACTATTCCTCCCACTGACTAATGATGGGGCACTATTCCTCACACACTGACACTAATGATGGGGCACCATCATTGGTGTCAGTGGGAGGAATAGTGCCCCATCATTGGAGTCAGTGGATGAAATAGTGCCCCATCATTGGTGTCAGTGGGGAGGAGTAGTGCCTCATCATTGGTGTCAGTGGGAAGGAATAGCACCCCATCATTGGAATACCATACTGAAATAGCATACCATATTGAAATCAAATCTGATGTTTTTTCATTTTTATTTGGTGTGCGTTGGAAGAGGGGTAGTCCTATACGGCGAGTATAGCTCAAATATTTTAACAGGAAAAGTAGGGGGTCGTCTTATACGCCCAGTCGTCTTATACGCTGGAAAAATACGGTATATTATATATATATATATATATATATATATAATATATATATATATACATGTTGAAATGCGTTTTTATTACAAAATATATGAAAAATATTTTTAAAAATAAATTTCAAATATACTGTATGTCTTTAAAAAATACAACTCTACATTTTTGGAATGCATTTACAAATATATGTAAAAATATATGTTAAAATGACTTTTTTATAAGTTAAAAAAACTGAAGAATATATTTAAAAACAATATATTTTTAAAAATATTTTCATATATTTTGTAATATATAAAAAACGCAACATGCAGTATATATTTGGGAAGAATATTTTTTTAAATATATTTTTCTTCCATATGGGTAGTTCCAGGCATCCTAAAGCTTTTGTCATTCACTATTCCAGTTCTACTAAAACAAATAAAACGACAAAAAACAACAACCCTTGCCTGGTTACTGTCTGAAGATTGAGTGAGATTTGATACCCCTAGATGGAATACCTTGTGCCTGCCGACTTGTATATTTAAAGAATCAGAACCTGGGATCAAATATAGCGGGACCAATCTGGTAGGTCCGCTACACACTAATACAATGATCAGTGATAATACTATGCACTGTCTCTCTACTAATGACACTGACTGGGAAGGAGTTAACATCAAGGAACAATCAAAGGGTTAACCGTGTGCCTAAAAGATGTGACTGTTTTTCCTCTCTGTTTTGCGGGGACAAAAAACAGCCACATTGCTGCTCCATGTACAGAGCCCTGTGTTGTTAGTAGACACAGAGCTCTGTACTGTGAGTCTCTAAGCCAATAAGCAGGTTCCAGCCATAATTGGCCAGGACCAATTGACTGACTTGTGCTGTACCAAATGACAGCACAAATGGGGCAGCGGGCACATGCACCCTACCCGGAAATGCTGGATCACATACATGTATGTGATCCATCACAGAGCCCTCTGCCGCAGTATATATACATGGGGAGGTCTGCAAGTGGTTAAGGCACAAAGTGCTTTAGACCTTATTAAAACATGAGATGCTTCTAATCAGGCATGTGGGGAGTTATAAATGATCCACACAGACAGGTGTTGATTTCACACAAGAGAATCCACTTAAGGTGTCCATAGATGGGTGGAATTTTGAATGAAAATTCATAGGAAGAGAATGTTCTAAGGCAGTTTGTTCATTTTTTCTAATCAATAGTGGATCAAAGTGTTTGTTTTCGGCCGCAGTGGTGAAAAAATTTGTTAGTTCCAGGCATTCCAAGTCCTCATGCACACTGGACGTTTTTACAGTTGCTGTTTTTTGGCTAGTAAACTCCCCAGCATGTTATTCTATGTATCCATGCACACAGACTGTAATCAACGTTTTTTGTCAGGAACGTTTACTGGCTGGGAAAAACCCCAAAACTAGTGGGTTTCTATAAGAGTTATTTTTTTTAGCTGTAAAAACGCTTCAACGCTGAAAAACACTACAAATGTGGTAAAACGCTGTCAAATGCAGTAAAAACGTAGCAAAAACTGGCGTTTTTGGACTTTTTTTAGAGCAAAGAAAAATAATGTTTTTGTTAAAAAAAAATGCTAGCAAAAACTGCCAGCAAAACACTGCTAAACACTAATGCAAAAACACTAACAACCTCTGAAAAACGCATGTTTTAAAAAAAAGTGACTTTACACAGCTAACGTTACCAGCGTTATAAAAATGGCCGTGTCGATGAGGGTTATATAAAAAAGACTGGGAGGCAAAACATCCCCCCATGGCATTCAGTCCACTCACTACATGCAATTACAAGGTTACCTTTGCTGCTCTGGTCATGAAGGGGGTTTGGAGCCTAAAGCTTTTCTCAGTCCACATCCCAGTTCTATCCCCCATATAGTAGTAAAACAATTAAAAACAAATAAAAAAGGACAACCCCTGCCTGGTAATACTGTCTGAAGATTAAGTGAGATTTGATATCCCCCTAGAGGCCCCCATATAGACCATCCCCCCTACAGGTATAAAAAGTCCCCCCTGTGGCAGTCTTACAGCTGTTACCAAACTACAAGTCCCATGAGGCATTGCACAAGACTGACAGATTCCTCATAAGCATGACTCCGAAAGGCAGAGGCATGATGAGCCTAGACTTGTAGTTTTTTGCAACAGCTCCGGAGCCGCAGCCAAGGGAGGGCCGCCAGCCGCGGGTTTGACACCCCTGCAGACGGGCAAATACCAGTTATTTTGCCTGCCTACTTGTAGTTTTATACTTAATGGATCAGAACCTGGGATCAAATATAGTGGGATCAATCTGGTAGGATAGAAATGTGTTTCTTGTTTGGTAAAGTCCATTCATTTCACAATCAAATACTAAAATCAAACTAAATCTTTTGAACATTTGAATGTTTTGAGAATGTGCTTAGAATTTTCATCTGAATTTTCCCTTAAGGGCTCATGTACACGGGGCGTTTGGAAAACTCTTCTGAACGATGGAAAGTGACTGCTGGAAAACGTAGGTTAAAAAACGTCAGTTTACCCGCATTTGCATACCGCATTATGTGCGTTTATGTGCGTTTGTGTTTAGAAGCGATTTTAAGAGATAACCTCAGGAGACCTTTCAAATGCCCAGAATGCACTGAAAAATACAAAAAAATTAACTATTTCAGACATTTTGAGAGGAATAGAGAGAGCAGATGCAGAGAGAGCAGTATGTGTTGAGATGATCTGTCTTTACTGGTTGTATTCACTATGGATCCCATCATGAGCATAATGCGGCACATTCTACCATTTTTTGCTTCATGCAAAACCTGGAACTGACTGCGCTGGTGTACTAGGTCCATTTGAATACATGGAAAAGCTTTGCATGCATTTTATGATGATGAAAAAAGGTTCTGGACAGCATCTGGACAGGGAACAGTTAAAAAACGCTTCAAAACGCAAATGCTTATAAATGCGATTAACCGCGTTTTACAAGCATTTGAAATGATGGTAAACTCTACTCCTGAACGCAAGTTTGGTGCATTCAAAAAAAACACTGTTAATGACTGTAAACTCAACTGCCTGTAAATGACTGTAAACGACTATGTGTACATGGGACACATAGGAAAACATTAGGGGGAGTTCAGGGGCTGCTGAAAAAAAAACGCTGAACAGCTCCTGAACGTCAGTTTAGGAGCTGCAGTGTACATGAGCCCTTACTCTGTAGCCTAGTCTGTGTTTGGGAATACTTGCCAACATTCTAAATTGGAGATACAGTAATTCAGCTGTACAGTGTTGTCCTTGGAATAACCAACTGTATATTCAGTTTACTAACTTATGTTTATTAAACTGAGCTATAAACATTTGGCTTTTCTATTTAAAATGATGCTTGGTAGGAACTGTTCAGATAAACATTCAGAGATAAACCAGAGAGGCAAAAGATGTACACTCTCCGGCCACTTTATTAGGTACACCTTGTTAGTGCTAAGAAAATATATCCACCAAACCATTGCACCACCACCAGCCTGAACCATTGATACAAAGGCAGGATGGATCCATGCTTTCGTGTTGTTTACACCAAATTCTGACCCTGCCATCTGAATGTCACAGCAAACAGTCTGCCCATTATCTTCTGACCTCTGACATCAAAAAGGTATTTTCATCCACACAACTGCCTCTCACTGGATATTTTCTCTTTTTCTCTGTAGATGGTTGTGTGTGAAAATCCCAGTAGATCAGCAGTTTTTGAAATACTCAGAGCAGCCCATCTGGCACCAACAACCATGCCACGTTCAGTCACTTAAATTCCCATTCTGATGCTCGGTTTGAACTTCAGCAAGTTGCCTTCAACACATCTAGTTGCCTAAATGCATTGAGTTGCTCCCATGTGATTGGGTGATAAGCAATTTGTGTTACCAAGTAATTGAACAGGTGTACCTAATAAAGTGGCCAGAAAGTGTGTATATATATATAGTATATATATATACACACAATATTGCTAAAAGTATTGGGACACCCCTCCAAATCATTGGATTCAGGTGTTCCAATCACCTCCATGGCCACAGGTGTATAAAATCAAGTACCTAGGCATGCAGACTGCTTCTACAAACATTTGTGAAAGAATGGGTCACTCTCAGGAACTCAGTGAATTCAAGTGTGGTATCGTGATAGGTTGCCACCTGTGCAATAACAACAGTGCATATACAGCTTCATGGAATGGGTTTCCATGGCCAAGCAGTTGCAACCAAGCCTTACATCCCCACGTGCAATGCAAAGTGTCGGATACAGTGGTGTAAAGGACTATAGAGCAGGGGTGGCTAACCTGTGGCTCTCCAGCT